TATACACTATGAAAATGTTAGCAATTTATGTTTAAAATTAAAACTCAAAACATCAAATAAGCATTAAGAAACTACACAAAAATAGCTTACATCTGCTACTGAATTTCATCCTTAGAAAATTTAAGGAGTAAACAGAGGACATCTGACAGTGCAACAGGAGAGAGGTCAGTGAATCTGAGAGTGATTTAAACTGTCTGACAATTCAAAGACAGAAGACAGCTATAATGTATAGATAAAACTGAAAGTGGCAATACTAGATCATACTCCTGGCAGTTAATGCCACTGACTCGCTGGAGACAAATCTGGATCTACTTAAAACGTCAGGTGCGTAAAGTAATGAGTCTTTGCTTAGTAGGAACGCAGCAGGAGGAGCCTTCATGATCCCATTGTCAGCTGAGTATATATTACTGCAAGCCTGTAAAACAAATGAGTATTTAATACCTGTTGGATTGAAAAAAAAAAATCCACTGATTATAATAGCTACATTCAATTTTGGGGGGAGAATAGATAACATTTAGCAATAGAACTCAACATTTTAATGATTATTACGAACTATTCTTTAAATCAAGCAGGTTTATGGGAAGCACTACTTTCCAAAAGAAAGTGTAGCTAACTGTTGACAAATATGACTCGTTTATGTGGTCAGAGGAAGGATGTGTCTCATTACTCTAGAATCAGAATTGTTGAGTGGAAAGAGACTGTTAATTAGTGTAGGTCAGCTTCAGAGAAAACAAATAAAAACATGAACAGGTTACAAGCGGCTGTGAGTAAATTTTGTGAGTCAAATATATTCAGCAATATTTTTTGGTCTAAATCTTTGTTTTTGAAAATACAATATGTTGTACATAGTATCGCTATGAGTTGGAATCAACTCAACGGCATCTAATAAAAACAACAACTTCCAGGTCTTACGGAGAATGTTAGTTGTCAATGGATAAGTTTTTTTTCTTTTTTTTTTTTAAACTAATCTTCAATTTTATTTTTATTACTTTGATAGGGCAACATTTCAAGCATAAACACAATAGCCACATGTAAGTAATTTTATAAGGACTGTTTTATTCTTTCATTCTTTGTTGTGCTATTAATACAGCTTTCTACCAAAAGAAAAACAAAACGAATTCCAAATATTCTTTGACAAACAATTCCATTCTACAATGCCAATTTAGATCACTTCTTGAGGAAGACAAAAACAGGATGAAGTTTTTTTAAAAAAATCTATCAACAGTAATTTTTCTCCCTTATGAAATACCTGCTCATAAATTGAAAATGTATTGAAAAGCAACTGTGAGTTCAGTTACAGACCAATTCACAATATTAAAATAAACTAATAAAATTCAGTATTTTGCAACCACACTGTAGACTGCATACATGTGAATACTGTAAACATACCTATATGTGTATTTTAAACCCTACTCTCTTTTGCTGTTTTGATAATCACAGTATGAGTTATGCAATATGAATTCAAGTGCTGAGACCAATTAACTGGTATATTTCAGCTAGCAATGGATTTTCTTTTAAGCGGTGCCATATAATTTAAGGAGATTCCTGGTGTGGTACTGTGGGCTAATATGCGGGACTGCAAGGTTGATTTGAAGTGCAAGTTCAGCAGTTTAAACTCAATAGCGGCCCCTTAGAAACTCTATACAGACAGGGTCGCTGTGGGTTGGAACCAACTCAACAGGACTTAACAACAACAAAAAATATAATTTAAGGAGTCCTGGTGTGCTGCGGGATAAACACTGGACTGCTAACCGCAAGGCTGGCAGTCCCAACTCACCATCCGCTCCTGGGAAACCCAGGGTCACTATGAGTTGGAACCTACTGGACGACACTTAACAACAACAACAGTTAAAACATAAAAGCAAAGACATCTGAGATGAATGTAACATAAAAATTGTATATGGGGGAGATGGAAGGAAGGCCATTACCCCAGCACACAGTAGAAATACATAAAGAAAAAAACATCACAAATGCCAATGTACTTAGACTCAACTTCTCTTGGCTAAGGCTGGGATGGCGAAGGACAGGAAGAGACCTCCACACTTTTTAGCACAGTCAACGAATTTGACATGAGGTTTAGACAGAAGAGTGGCTTCACGCGGGACTAAGGAAACCTCTTCCACCTTTCCTAGGTGTTACGAATGATTCATACAAAATCAACTCTTTTGGAATGCTTTGGGTTCTCTGGGAAGAGTAACTGGTAAAAAATTAACTAACCTAACTTAAATAAACTAGTAGGATCCATATGAAGACAACATAAAACATTTCTTATTTTGATTTTGAGTGTTTATTTCTCTAACTAAGTTCAGGTGCAACCAGAGTGTCAGGCATGCACCAAATTTTCTTCAGAACTGAGCCCTGGAAGGAAGGATGTGCGCATTCAGGTGTTCATCTGTGTGAGGATCTGAGTGAAGCTTGGGAGGCTGGCTCTCCTCCACTTAGGATGTTGACTCACATGTTCTGTACAATGAAAATCCAGCAGAGCAACACATATTCAAGTCCCATGGGAGTCACATAGAGACCTCTAGGTGTTAAGATGAGGAATTTTCTTCTCTTAGCTGAAAATATGAAGATGGATTTGAGTGGGGGCAAATTAAGTGAACATCTTCGAGGGGTTGCTTCAGAAAATCTAAGCCTGTCTAGAAAGGCCACAATAAGTCCTCCTAAAGTCTTTTGTACTAGTTGGGTATAGTTTTATATGTATTCCTCTTCTTGATGACAAGGAACCTTACATCCATGAGAACATTGGGATGAAAAAGAACAGCCGAATTCTCAGTAGTTAGGAATCAACAACGTCTTCACAACACAACCTCAGAGTTTGTTTGCTATCCATGGCTCAAAATTTCAATTTTCAAAATTCTAGGATTTTAGAAGTTGTTTCTATAATGGAATTAAAAAAAACAAACAAACACAAACATCTTTTGACTAGATCCTAGAAAGCTACCACATGTAAGTTTAAAATCTTGTATACAGACAATCATGACTTTTTCTACCTCTACACAGATAGAATTATCATTTAAAAAATGGTGGTTTTTTTTAATTTATTTATTATAAATGGCTAATTTCTAAGCAACAAACTTAGAGAGTAATCATAAATTTCTTTGCCCAATAAAAATGCTTTAAGACAGAAATTTACCTGGTAGCCTATAGTCCCCTAACAAACCTGTCCTTTTAGCACATTACCTCTAGGAAAGAATATAATTCTTAAAAGAACTGTATACATTTGGCAGATGATCAAAGTGATTGGCCAGACTCCCTATTTGGCAAGACTTTCTTTAGAGGGACACCTGGAAGAGGTCTGGTATGTGGATTAACTTCTCTCCCTTTTAAAACTCTTGGGATTTACAAATTAAAAAAACACAAACAAACCTATTATAAAAGTAATTCATATACCTCAATTTGACCTTTACCCAACCAATAAAGGCCTATTATAAATATAATTATCATTCAGTCCTTAGTAATCAGGAATGATAACTAACATCTTACAAATGAACAGAAACTGAGAATCTCGGACATTATGATTCTGAAACAATACTAGACACATGATAAAAACAACTTGTTTTGCTTGTTTGAAATTAACTTAGATCATAGTAGGGGCAGTCATTCACAACTTTTGTTCATTCTCTTCTTTTTTACACTAGGGTTGGATCCCTGCCAGAAATTTCTGAATTCTTGGGATAGCCACTTAAATCTTCAAAGACTCTGATAATTTAGTTCAGTGATTAAAATTTACAATTAATTTACTTTGCTCTTAAAAAAATATCAACCTTTGGGAACTAAGAGGTAGAAGGCAAGTTTGAATTAATAGAACGTATGATTCGGTCATGGTGATTTTAAAAAATACATTTTTTTTTCTTTCAATAGCTATTTTTATGTTCTAAATGAGGTAAATTTTATAAAATCTGCATTAAAGTGATGTTCAGGGCACTCTGGTGGTAACAATGATGAGGTTTATTTTGTCAAAATAAAAATGTCCCAGGGAAACATTAATTGCTGTTTTTCAACTGTGAACTCCATATTACATTGTCCAAAGATAGAAAATTAATGGGTATCATGTTATTTTCAGTAACTTCATATGCATGTGTAAGCTGGACAGTGACTAAGGAAGACAGTAGAAGAATTGATGCTTTAGAGTTGTGGTGTTGGAGGAGAATATTGAAAGTGCCAGGGGCTGCCAAAAGAACCAATAGATCCGTTTTGGAAGAAGTGCAGTCAGAATGCTCCTTGGAGGCTAAGATGGCCAAACATTGTCTCTCTTACTTAGGACATATTGTCAGGAGGGACCAGTAGCTGGAGAAGGGTATCATGTTTGGTTAAGGTGGAAGGTCAGAGAAAAACAGGAAGACGCCCAATGAGATGGATTGGCCAAGAGACAGCATCGATGGACTCAAGCATGGCAACAGTATGAGGTTGGCCCAAGATCGGGCAGTGTTTCGTTCTGCTGTACATAAGGTCGCTATGGGTCGGTACCGAATCGATGGCACCTAACAACAACAACAACAACAACTCCATTAGAGAATCTTCACGGCAAACCCAAGCTAAGCAATATGGAATTGGCAAGCCTGCTGAACACAGATTTGCATGGAAGTTCACGGATGCAGTAACAGGCCTTTCGGACTACAACAGATAGGGATGACAGGACTGACCCCATTTTAGAAATCTGTAGTGCGCTCACATTTTCCTGGGCTTCACACATACATGAATCAAGCAAAAGCATTAGAAGTTATTGACATCTGAGATCTAAATAAATAAGAGAATAAGGTGTTACTTATACCTAGAAACAGCTGAAATTGAACTGCTGAAAAACTTAAAAGGGTAACAGGTGTTCACTTTAGCACCATGAAGTGTGTACAAATCCCATTCCTCTCACGGTGGCAGGACTGGATGCACTTAGGAAGCTGGAGTGATGCGTCTGAGGCGTGTGGATTTCTGCTCCAATACCAGAAGCTATGTTGAAATTTAATGGGATATAATGAATAAAAATTGTAAAATGTTTCTTCTTAGGTAGGTTTTCCTGAATTGGTGGTAGTAGTTGTGGCAGTGCTTTTTGGTAATGGAAATCCAAGTCCTAATCCTTTTGGCCGCTGCATGGCTTGAAGTGGCTCAGAGATCCCCTTGCCATCTCGTCCCAGGCCTGACCCAGGTGTCCACCCCATACTCTGAAGCATTCGGTTTCCAATGTTGTTTTCTAGGATTGGTTGAGCATTTTCACCTACAAGCCCTGAAAGAATAACAACACACGTTAGTAGTGATTATTAGTGACACAGGAGAAGATTCTCTGGCTGAATACAAGTTCTTCTAAGTTTGTTTCAACAAGGTCTCACACAGGGTTCTTTACCCATATTTAGATAATTGACTTATTATAGAAGAAAAAATGTGAAGAACAATCTTGGTGCAGTTTCACAGTTTTAACACTAGGTAATTGTGTAAATTATTTATCCTTTTGGGGCCTTTGTTTTCTCATCTGTACAACAGGCACAACGCAATGTACACTGCCTATCTCACACAGAAAACTGTAAGATCATTAATGATGTTCCTAGTGAGACCATCCAAGGAATGAAAGCATTCAATAAATCATAACGTACTTTGCAAATGGATTTATTCTCATTACCAGGTTATTCCCATGGCAGATCTGAAAGTTACTAACTCGGCACCAAAATACCATATATTTGCCTGGGAGTTTGACATTTACAAAACCAGACTAAAATGAAAATCAAACAAACAGCTATTTGATAGAATTCTTAATCACTAGGCTTTTTATAATCTTCTTATTTATTACTATTCTGTCTGAAGTTCATGCATCCTTTTAATCTTTTCTTCCTTTTCATATTTAATGATTACTGAAACAGGTTGTTGTTGCTTTTGTTAAGTGCCATCGAGTTGCTTCCGACTCGTAGAAATCCTGTATAAGGTTTCCGATGAGTGGCTGGCGAATTTCAAATGCCGACCTTGTGGTCAGATTGACCTTGCAGTCCAGCGCATTAACCCGCAGTGCCACACCAGCACTCAGAGGGGAAAATGTGTGTGTGTATAAAGCATCCTGTGTGGCACAAACAGGTGACTGACTACTAATCAAAAGGCTAGCAGTTCGAATCCAGCCAAAGGCACTTGTGAAAACTTGGCAAATTTACTTCTGAAAGGTTATAGTCACAGGAGATGGTGGAACATGCATGGAATCATCATGTTGGAGTTGGCTTGTGGACAGCTGCTTTAATTTTGCTTTTACACAAACACAGACACACGCACACACACTCAATAAATTACAGGAGGGAGCTTCAAAAAGTTCATGGGGAAAGCTCATCACCTTTCAATCCCATTTTTCCATACATCTTTGGAAGCCCGTTATATATTTTCTTCCCGTTTTCCTTCCTCCTTTCTTTTCATCCTTCCTTTCACTTTCTTTCGCTCCTGTCGATCTGTGTACCTACCTTCATTCCTTATTTTAGAAAAGGAATCCTAAGATAAGCCTAGTAGTGCTTTCCATGAGGTTTAGAAAAAGCTGCTGTTTTCCCTAATAGCCAAAGTAACTGAGAGATTCATCTATTTTATGCATTTGCAATTTGATAGTCTTTTCAAAGATTGAGTTTTAATTTAAAGTTTAACATATATATTGTATATTTGATTCTATGGGAAAATTTACAAGTATTATATATGTAGTCAAAGTACTGAGAAATTAACAAATGTCAAAGGGGGAAAAAAATTACAAGAAGCTGAGATCCTTTCCTCAATTGCAGGCTTAGACTTGGTCTGTCTCCCCAGCTTGTGGCATGGGTTGTCTCTACTTGATTGGTCCATTTTTGTTCATTCTTAGCAGCAGCTGTGAGATTATGGTTGATGAAAAGGGAACACAGCAAATCTGAAGTCAAACAGATACAAGCAAGTAGAGCTCTCCATTACTTGAGCATTACTTATGGTTGTTCCCACCCCCTTTCAGAAAGAGGTGATTATCAAGTAAACTGTTATTGGAGATTGTGGAAATAAAAAAAGGAAATGGGGTTATCTTCAAATAACCTTGGTTTTAGTTAGGAGATGCTCAGGCCAATCTCCTATAGTAGGGTTTGCAGTACACGTCTAACAGGGATGTAGTGGTTGTTCATTATTTCCTCTCTAGGCCTCCAGGAATAAAGAGAGCTTGCCCCACCCCCCCTTTTTTTTTCTTTTTTCTTTCTTCAATAGGCCTTCCAGAGGATGCTTAGTCCTAAATCCAGCATATTTCTACTCTGATGTGAGGAGTGTTCTTCCTAGATATGCGTTAAATGGGTAGCTGTAGATTTTAAAGGCCTGGGAGTCAGATTTTTCTGTTCGCTCCATTCTGTCCTTATTATTTGCTATCATCATTTCTTTCTTCTTTGACCCAGAATTATGACAACACTTTTAACCACCCCACCCCACCCCCCATATACATACACACAGGGCCTACTGTCCTACTTCTCTAAGGTTACATTCACAATGGAGATATTAAGGTACAGTAGGAGGCACAAGCATCCCTACTAACAAATAACAAAAAGCTTGCAGCTTCTGGCGTATCGTTAATAATCGATTTCATGGTCTAGGTGCTGGTTAAACAAATGGCCTACTTACCGTTGTTCTTTACACTGTACATACACATTTTCATGTATTCTTTGGTGTATGTATTTCACACTGAAAAATGGAATTAAAAAAAATTCCAGTGTTGCACCAATAGTGCATCTTGCTTGGGATCACAAGTGGGTTATTGCCCATGATTATGACTTGTAAAAGAAGGAAAACTGTAAAATGCTAGGGATCAGTTTTAGTAACTGATAACAGAGTAATCATCAATGATTTTTCAAAATCATCAATGATATTCTCAATCTTCAATGATTTCTAGGACCGAATAAAATTTGCCACTTGCTAATTTGACTACAAGGACTAATAATTGAGTTGGTTTTGAACTTAAAAAAAAAATTGGATCTCTTGAGGACATTATGCTAATTATGAGAAATTTGTCAGTCACAAAAGGACAAATATTGCATAAGACCATCCATGTAAAATCTTAAGAAAAAAAAAGATTCTCAGTTAATGGAAACAAATAGTGTACATTAACATGTAATATGAACAACTTGAACGGAAATGTCTGATAGATATCATAGAAAAATTCTTGATAAGCATTATTTACTGTTTGGCCAAGGCAAAAGAAATACATATACAAAGATAAGATGGGAAAATTTCTAATTAGGAAATGTATTAAAATCTAAATATACTACTGAACATCCAAACTATATGATAGGTGGTTCTGGTGATACAGTTGCATTTTAGGTATATATACATACATACATATATATATATAAAGCAGGTCTGGTAGCGTAGTGGTTACAAATCGGTCTGCTGACCTCAAGGTCAGCAGTTCGAAACTACCAGCTGTTCCATGGGAGAAAGATGAGGCTTTCTGCTCCCATAAAGATTTATAGCCTCAGAAACCCTGTGCAGGGTCGCTATGGGTCGGAACCGACTCCCCAGCACATAAAAACAAGCAACAACACTTAACAGAGTCCTGGTGTGGCGCTGTGGGTGAATGCGTCAGATAGCAAGTCGTTTGAACTGCAAGGTCAGTGGTCCAAGCAAGCTCACCAGCTGCTCCTTGGAAAACTATACAGGGTCGCTATGGGTCGGAATCGACTTGACGGCACTTAACAACAGCAATAAGTAAGTATACCTACATCCTGGGTTAACTCTTGGTTACAAAAAAATAAAACCCAACAAGAAAAGTCTTTTGTCAAAAATTGTGCTTATTAAGTAAAAATGTAAGTTTTAATTTTGATATTATCATTATAGTGGCAATCAAGACAGACCTTCAAGAAAATGAAAGTATGTTAACTTTTTTCCAGAACAACTGCTCCTCAGGTATGTTAAGTTAAATAGTGCTCCAGTGTTTTGTCCCATAACCCTGACTTTTCAGTGATTTCATGAATTAATTTAATTCCATCTGTAAGCTGAAATCTGATCAGAGATCAAATACTGCTTCAGGCTACACAGCTGTTTAATCATATTTCTGATACAACCAGCTTGCAAAAGTTCAGGTTTAAAATTTGTTTAATACTTAAGAAAAAAATATGAGGCCTATGTAAAACATATCTACAAAGGACACAGTGTGGCCAATTCCCAGTCCTAAAGTGAACAGCAAGGAGCCCTGGCAGTGTAGTGGGTTACTAGTTGGGCCAGTAGCAGTTAGACTCTCCCTGCTGCTCTGCAGGAGAAAGATGAGGCTTTCTGCTCCCAGAGATTTCGTCTTGGAAAACCTATTATACTGGGTAGCTATGGGTCAGAAGCAACTCCATGGCATGCTGCCACAAAAGAGAACAGCAAATGATAACCAATTCATTAACACAGTTTAAAGTGTTGACATTTCAAGGGTCTGTTCTTTCTCTCTCAACATTTATGTTGGTTTCATTTCTCTTTATAACAAAAATGAAGAACCGTCTTACAGTTGTTGTGAAGTGCCGTTGAGTCAGTTCCGACTCAAATGACCCTGTATAGGGTTCCTGAGGCTTTAAATCTTCAAGGGAGCAGAAAGCTTCATCTTTCTTCCATGGAGCAGCTGGTGGACTTGAACCACTGGCCTTGTGATTTGCAGTCCAGAGCTTATCATATGAAGCCACTGATTTTTTATAGTCAAGGTAGTGGTGATGGTTTTGTGCCACGAAGTTGGTACAGCTACATAGCGTCCCTGCATAGGGTTTGTGAAGCTGTAAATCCTTATGGGAGCAGAAAGCTTCATCTTCCTCTCATGGAATAACTGGTAGATTCGAACTACTGACTTTGCTGTTAGTAATCCACTATGCTACAAGGGCTCCTTTATAGTAGAGTTGTTGTTGTTGTTGTTAAGTGCCGTCGAGTCAGTTCCGACCCATAGCGACCCTGTACAGAGTTTCCGAGGGTGTAAATCTTTACGGGAGTAGAAAGCCTGGGATGGGGAAAAAGGAAGAACATTTAAATCCTCAAATACTAAATCTTTTCAAACTCTCTGCCACTGTGTCGATTCCTACTCATACCCACCCTATGAAGGGTTTCCCAGACTGTACATCTTTATGGGAGCAGACATCCTCATCTATCTCCCTTGGAGCAGATGGTGGGTTTGAACTGTTGACCCTGTAGTTAGCAGCCCAGTGCCTAACTGACAGTGCCACCAGGGTTGATTTCTCACACAAATCCCCCTAAAACAATGACCTTTTAACACAAACGTAAAAAAGAAAGAAAGAAACA